CCAGCCACGACCGCGGCTCCCCGCGCCCACCCGCAGCCAAAGAAGTTACCACTCGCCCAAATAAACCTTGAAATGAAACAACCCAGTGCACAATTGCAGCCTGGCCCCCTTAATACCTCCTCCCCAAATCAGAAACACGCTCGAAACTCGGTGGAAAGGAGGGGGTACCGTGCCGTGGCGCCCCAAGTTGCCCAAATGCACGCAATAAATGCAAGGGTCCGCTGCCCGCCCCGGGGCGGCCCGAAGGGAAAAGCGGGAAGAGGCAGGCGGGCTGCAGGGAGGGAGCCGGAGGGGCAAGCAACGGACTGGGGTCCAGGGGGGTCCACCTCGCCAAGGCAGGGGGCGCAGCTCAGCCCGGTTTCTAAGCAGACCTAGGGCTACTGGGGGGCCGGTCTATCCGTCTGGGCCTCGCCGGACGCCTGGGTTTTCTGCGCGGGCGGAGGCAACTAAGTGCCGGGCTGGGGACCCACGTCGGAGGCGGGCTCTGCCAGATGCTCTCTCTTTCCCGGTGACCATGGGAAACCCCGTACCCTGGTCTGTCCTTAGGCGAGGCGACTGACAAAGAAGGCTCTGGGCTCTCTGGGCGGACAGGAAGCATGCCCGGCCTCTCCGGCGACCCGGAGCCGGGTGTCCGCCTGCGCGCCTTGCACGGTGCCCAGACCTCCCCGGCGCCAGCCGCTCTCAACCCCGAGCGGACGCCGCGGGCGCCAGGGTCCTGCCCCTGGTGCCGCCGGGCCCGGGTAAGCGCGCGGCGCGCGGCTTCCCGACCTGGTTTCCAGGAATCAGGAGGGCAGCGAGGCGCGGGCAGCGCGTGGGCCCGGCGGCCGGGCTCCTGCGGCAGGGACTCAGCCCAGGCGCACTGCCCGCCCAAAGGACGTCTGCGCGGCATGGGCTGGGGACCCCGGGGACCGCCAGGCGCTGTCCCGGCACTTTCCTGCCGAGAGGAATCAGGCCCTTTTGATTAAAACAAACAAACAAACAAATCCGAAGCAGGTTACTGGGTGCGAGGCTGTCGCAGGGCAACCCAGCCCTGCCGGCTCTGGGTGGCATTCTTTTTTTATGAATTGGCAGCATGTGTACGTTAATATTTTAATTAATCGGGAAACTGGAAGTCCGATTTACATTATCTGGGGACCCCCACGCCTCTTGGAAGGGGTGAGGAAAAAGATGCGTTGGAAAGCAATCTATTTTCCTGGTGTTGGGGGTTAATGACTATTGCCAAAGATAAGTGAATTATCAAAGCTGTTGCGCCGGTCCCATCTCAAAACCCATTCCGTGCCGGCCGTCTAATTAAATACGTAAGTATAATAAAATCATATTTTATGACTATTTGAGGGTAATGAGATTAGTCTTTAGAAACGATCACCACATATTAAAGATGCCACTGTCTATAGAATGTTAATAACCTTAAATCAAAGTGTATGGAAACTATTCACGATCAATTAAAAGAAAATTTCTGTATTCCTAATAAGCCCAGAGCCTTTTTACCCACAGCAGACTGTAGGAGGGAATACTTTCTTCCTGGAAAGACAACGCAAAATAAAGTTGGGCATCGTCGGAGGGCGGGGTTGAGAAGTCGCTTTGTCTCTGCATGTTTAGCTGCTTGGGGGCTCACGCAGGGCCAGCGGCCAGGCGAGCGTTATTGTCAGAATATGCAAAATGCCTTTTCAGGAAAGATGAAGTTGGAAATAGGAAACAATGCTTTCTTTGTAGCATACTTCCTAAAATGCCCAGCCGGAGCTGGAGGTGCCCCCTTCCTTTCGCTAACGAAAGTATCATGCTTAAAATCATTTACAGTATCTTTAATTCAGATTACACGCGCCAAGGCGATTTAAATCTGATTACCAAATTAGAAGGTTTAAAAACAAATCCTTCTAAATCTGATACTGTTGACTAAAGAGGGAAAAAAAAGTTCTATAAGCCCATCACATAAGGTAACGATCCTGCCCCAGAAAGAAAAGGGGTTTTAAACCTTTTTGACAACAAATGCAGCTGCCCCACTATTTTGGACGATATTAAGCGAAAATGAATGCAAATCTGCGTTCAGCAGCCATCTGGCCCGAAACGGGGGAGTCGGCAGCTCTCACAACAGGCTCGGAGGCTGAATCCATTTCAGCTCATTTTCTAGATCATCTGGTCCCGCACCCAAAGCGTGGAAAATACGGTCTTTATCATTCACCAACTTTATCTTTTTTGTCACTCCACTGCTGGCTCCGAGCTGCGGGCACAAGGACTGGCCACCGGCGCAGGGTGTCTGCCCGGGCCTGCTGCGGACGGGCCTGGGAGGGCGGCCTCCTCGGCCCCCACCTCACCCTACCCCAGATTTCCGCTTTGAGGGGGCGGGAGCAGCAGCCGAGAGGAGCGAGGGAGTGGGAGCCCAGGCCGCAGAGGGGGGAGGGGAGGAGGCTGCAGGGCGATTCCTGGATGTCCTGAGAGATGCTGGGAGCCCCCGCCCCTCTCTTTTTCCGAGGAACTAGGGGCGCCCAGCACCCAGGCAGGGAATGCCTAGGGAAGGGCAGGGTGACACTTCGGAAGTTGCGCAGGTCTCTCGGCCCGCGGGTCCGGCCTGCGCACACAGAGGGCTCCCAGGGGCCGGGCCGGGCGGGACCTGACCTTCTCTGGGAACCCCGCCGGCCGCGGCGGCGACGGCTCGGGGCCGGCTCAACGCGATTTGCACGGGTGGCCCTTGCGCCGCCGCCGCCTCCTCCTCGAGGGTGGGAAGTATTCCTTTTGTGCGGATTTACGGGGAGAGGCTTCAATGAGCCCCCTCACATTTGCATTTAAATAGCGGCATCAAGCGCTTCGCGTGCCACACACCAGTGGGCTCCCAGATGTCACGCCGGAGTCAGTCAGATGGCCAGTGCCCAGCTGTCCTCCCCACGTCGTGCCGGAGCAGGCAGTGACCTTAAAGAGACAGAGCCCGCCGCCCCTGGAGCCCTGCTCGGGGAGCGGTGTGCAGGGCGCTGGGCCGCTGCAGCACCCAAAGCCGGCCCGGGCGGTAGAGCCGTGCAGCGCCCGCACCCAAGTCCAGCCCGGCCTCCCTGCCGGCCGCGCGCACCCAGGCCCTCCACGCGCGCCCACTACCCGCCCGCACCTCCCCTCGCACCTCCCCAGTCCGGGCGCTCCACGGCTGCGTGGTGCCTGCCAGGCCTGAGGGCTGGGGCCGAGCTGGTGCAGGCATCCGAGCCAACCAGAAACTTCCGCCAAGTTGGGGGTCCCAGGGCGCGGAGCCGGCTGCAGAGCCGGCGTCGGCCCAGTGTCCAGGGCTCTCCGTGGACGCCCTTTCCTGCTTGCGGCCGAGCCCCAAGAGCCTGCCGACCGCCCTACCCGCCTTCCAAAGAGTAATAAGGTGCATTTCCGGCGTCAAGAAGCCCGGGCCGGGGGTTCCTGGAGGCCGAGCCCCCTGAGGCATTCGGGCCGCGGCGCGCAGCGCC